AAGTATACATGTTTGCATGCCATGTGTGTTTGCCTGTCTATTATTTAAGGACTTCTGTGATGATTTGACAGCTTTCAACCATTCTTTTTGTAGTAGTCACACTTTTATTGTCATTTTTAAATCAGTGATGTAAAATTGTAGAAAAATAATAATATCCTTAGCACAGGGTTATCAAACTCAAGGCCCGTGGGCCACATCCAGCCCATGGGGTGCTTAGATCTGGCCTGCAGACCCATCCTGGAAACAGCAAAGGACTGGCCTATGGTGCTTCTGCCAGGGAAAACAGAGCCTGGGCAGGCCCATGCGCAGCCTCCCTGAGCTCCATTTTAGCTGGCAGAGGGTGCAGAAGACCATCACGGCCAAAAATGGAGCTTTGATGAGTGACATCAAGTTGGCCATGCCTCCTGGCCACACACCCCAGCCTGCCCCCCCACCCAAGGTCAAACACAACCCTGATGTGACCCTCAATGAAACTGAGTTTGACACCGGTGCCTTAGGGTAATATGAAGCTAACATTTTCTCTCTTGGTCCAATTCACATAGAGTGTTCTGGAGAACATTATGTACACACACACACACACACACACACACACACACACACACACACACACAATTTACAGCTAGTAGTGGAGAAGTTTAAGAAATCTGAATCCTACTTTATCCTAAAGTGATCCAAAGAAAAATGTGTTTATCATGAAAGAAAAACTTGTATTCTATTTTTTTTTTTTGCAAAATCAAAATATGCTAAAAAGATTTCCTTTCTTATATGCTATGGTTCAGCAAGCAGCTCAATTTGCCATCTATTAATACCCAAGAGACTACAGTTGTATCTATTTAACAAAATTCTCACATGTTTCACAAGAATATTCAGCTGCTAAGCTCTAAGACTCAGCTCTTAGCTGAGGCAAAAACAGTTTTATTAAAAATGCTAGCAGAAAGGAAATGGAATCTTACATGGTTGACTGCAAAAGTTGGCACCATCGTGCTTAAGCTTACTTATTTCCATCATAGTGAATGAAGATCAACTGATTGCAGTGCAAGTCTGCCAGTTGAAGTACATTGAATCTGTTTTTGATTTAGGAACTATGAAATAAAGAATATAGTATAATATTTTTAACTTGTCTCACAGAGTTTACTCCATTATCCCATGTGGGGGATCTCTCTTTATACTCATTTTACAAAAAGCAGCCATATAATCTTGAGTGACAAAGGGATATTTAAGCTTTTCTCCATTGATATTTTTTTCCTTCCCAAATCATCTCCCTAAAACTCCAATTGAGTGGCAGGTCTGGATTAAGACATGCTGAGGCTTTAAACTATGGGGATGTAAGAGCCATGTCATTAAAAGGGCAGAAGAGAAGTGCAGAGAAAGCAAAATTGACTTGTCTGGTTAGAAAAAGGGCAATAACCTCATTTATTAGTGATTGAAAAACCTCTTACGGAGTTTTTGCTGAAGGAAAGAAAAAAATGATTTATGGGTTTGATGATGAGAGAGTAAACCATGGAAAGAAGGATGCAATATTAAAGAGAGATAGTTAAATATAAATGCATTTTTAACTGCAGCTAAGATTAGAATCTACTTCTTTACAGTATAACCTCTCTCTTTTTCTTTCTCTTTTCTTTCTTTTGCATCTTTTCTTTTTTAATCTCTTTACTATTTTTCTTTATTTCATCTCTAACATTTATATTGTTTATATCTTGAAAAATTCTTTAATGAAAATATTTTTAAAAAGTAGAGAAAAAGCTTATTACAGCATTATAGAAAATGAAGACAAAAACAATCAGGAGAAATTTGATAGTGTTGGTAGCAATAGGATGAAGCATATTGACAATATGAACTCTCATCTTTAAAGTATGTTGTAACAGGCTATGCCAAATATGGAATGACTTTGTGAATGGGCAAATCTCTCCGACGGTATTTTAAGAAAGCATAAATATAACTTTCTCAACATTCACATATGCCTTCTCGCCCAAAAAGATAGGAAATCCTCCTATTAATCAACGATATACAAACTGACTCTTTTTCATAACTGCTTCCCATTTACTGAATAGTGGGTCTTCCATTTCATTATATCATTCAGCAGTTGCCTAGCTGGGGAGATAGTATGGAAAGTAAATGTAGCATAAACTGACATGAGTGTAAATATTTAGGGATTTTTTTTTTACATACAAAAACTGAATTGACTTCTGAAAGCAGGTCATTTTACATGTAAGCAGAGGAGAGTTTTCTGAGATCATGATCTGTTTACAACATCTGGCAATATAATAATTTTCTTGCAACTCTCAGCTGTGAGCTATATTAGACAACTCCTGCTTCCATGTTAACCTTTAGTGACCGTGAGCTGGGGATGAGGGGAGATGTGAGCCGGACTGGGTTAAAATGGCATCTGCTCCGGGGATTTCTAGTTGTTGAAGCCAAGAGCACTCCATATTAGTACCAGCCTTAGAAGAGTCTACATTTCAGAGGGACTTCCTAAAAGGAATATGCCATGCTGGAAATCCCAGGGATTATCTTTCAGCCTTTCAAATGCCAAACTCAAAGCTATTTCTACTGAGCAGTACAACATCCTTCCTTGGCTTCCTACATGACATGCATTTTTTAAAAATGTTGTCTCTTTCTCAGTCAAGTTCTGGCTCATTACCTTCTCTCTCAGAAATAAACCAACCTGATTGGCTTCTTTTTTTACTACGACATGTCAGCTTGACACCACTCACTGGGCATGGCCAAATGGGTGGTCGAGGCCAGCTTAACACCAGTGCTGCCATGTTTTCTCTTCACATGGGGTAGACTGGGCCAAAGCCATGCTGACCCAATGCTTCCTCTTCGCATTGGGTAGACTGGGCCGAGGGCCCTTATATTTTCCAGGCAGGCCCTGTGGGCCAGATTTGACCACATCAAATCCAGCCCATGGGCCTTGTGTTTGATACTCTGTCTTAGAAAAACAAATTCAAAAATATTGATTATATTCTAAAAGCATTGTGAAGAAAGAATACTGACTCCCAGTGTTGGCCCATTTACACTTAGAAGCTTCCATTTCATGCAATGGTTACCAAGTAAACATGGGTATGTGTTTTGACCACCCTTCTCCATCCAGGAATGAAAGCCAAAAGCCACATAACTAAAAAGGTTTCTTTTAATCAGTCCAAGCTCTTGATGGCTGCAAGCCCAAATAAACAAAGATAATAGCTCCGGCAACAGTCCTATAACTCACAAAAGCACTGCAAGCCACTTATCCAAGTTAGCTTCTCTCGATGTGGAAGTGAACAAGCACAATCACTAGAACAGGAACGGAACGGAACGAAATGGAACATTGACTTCTGCAACCAGGACGTGGCACTAGCAGTTTCTTTATACTCAGGAGAGGATCCCAATGAGCCACAGCTGCTCACAATCATCTCCTATAAGTACTCAGTTGTTCCTTCTGTTGAGTAACCCTTCGACGGGGTGCATCCTGCAACAACTCTCAAGTGTTTCCTTGAACACTCCCTCTGATCCAATGCTCTGCCACCACCTGGGCCAATGGCTTCTGCTGGGCCACAACAGGTATGTATGAACAATATTTTACAAAACAATGGATTCTGAGAATAATTTTGCTCAAGGTTGCAACTTTAAAGAATAACCCCAAATATTGCTAGACTAATTGGCAAGAACAGATGTGACTTTTATGGTTTCTTCTAATTGCCTTTGAAAAGGAGGATTATTATGTGCAATGCTAGATTGTTTTCACTGCAGGATAGTATGATCCTAGTCTCCCCCTCCTGTCCATTGATTGATAGATTTACACACCTTACTAGTGAACAGGGCTTACTGTCTTGAATGGAGCACTCCAATTATGGCCTCTCTAAACACAGAAACAAAAATAGCTATTACTCTTCTGCCTTTTCTCTGGTTATGTGCCATAGGGAGAAAGGTGTGAATTGTTTCTCATCTCTGTTGGCAAAGCTGCTTAAGTGTATTGGAATTTCTACATTACTTTCCTTGGGATAACACCTAGATTGAACCCTGGGTGTTTGATCTTAACTGTCACAAGAGATTACAATTTTACATTAACATAAATCTATCAGGCTAAATGAAATTGCTTTGCGTTCAGCCAAATGGAAGTAATAGAGGGGATCAGAGCTTGGCATGTTTGCATAGAGCTTTTAGAAGGGAAGCTCCCTCTCCCCCTGCTTTTCCATTTAATACAGTAAGCAATGCTTAATGTATTGTTTTATTTTATTATTTAAAATATTGCCTCCTCATACAGTGAGTAGATTAAAATGGCAGAGTTCCAAAGAATATCTCAAAACATCACATTTTCTTTTAGGGAGGGTTCAGATAGGATGAATGAAGCACTCTTGATGATTCTCCCACGCTCACTGTTGTCTCTGCTTGCCACGTAGAGTAAATCTCACAGGAAACAATGGGAGTGGAAAAAAGGTGTAACAAAGGACAACACCAAAGTAGCATACTTCATCCCCTCCAACAATCAAACAAGTTCAAAACATCACAGGGAGAAATTTGAAAGAAAGAAAATTCTCAAGGGCACCGAGAATAAAGTAAGAAAACTGAAGCAGGATTCTCTTTACCCTATTTCCCTGGGCTTTGGAAACCAAGCAATGACCTTGTTAGAAATGCTTTAGGGAGCTTGTATGCTACTATTTTACATCTGGAGTTTTTGCCCTTTATAAAAGTGTGTTTCAGATCTGGAATTCCAGATATCTTTCTAGTTGTCAATGTCTCATAATTTAGTTTGGACAGCTGCTACTTTAAGGAACATTTAATATTTCCCAGTGCTACTTTTCCATCACATACCCTAGAATAACAATATACAATTAGTATTTGTATTTTAAACTTTTCTAGATACTTCCATTGTTTCATTAGTGAGTAGTACACTCAAAGGTCAAAACCTGATAGTAAAATAAACAATCTGCAGAAAGAAATAGATGATCAAGTTAATAGGTTTGCTCATTTGGTTATATCTTCAATAGTTCTCATTTGCAAACTCGATCTTAGCCATATTAAACATGTTCATCTGTTTCATCTTTATCTACTGATTCATTAAAATAATCATTCAGTTCTCCAACATACTTTGATTTACGAGTATGATACAGTTGCTTATTCATAGGCTCAATCATCTTCATTCTCAGAACATTCTGACTCTTCTTACTATGTTTTCCCATGATGTCTAAAGATAGAAAAAATAATTTGATATAAGCAGCAGAGCTTGTAGTAAGCCACTATGACATCAAAATCAAATTATACATGCCATGGTACTTGTTTTATAAGTGACAGAATTATGAAATCTAAAACAGTATGAATATCAGGTCATTTGTATGGTGATATTATGAGATATGTCATAATTGTGGATGCCCATTGATGTTAGATTTTTTGGTCAAAACTGACTGATCTCAGAAAAACTGATATAATAGATATACATAGATATAATATAATAAAATAAAAGACCAATGGCAAACAATTTCAGATCATTTCCAAGTAGGTACAATGGACATGTTTATGTTTTCACCAGCAGTTGAGTTCAACGTGAACATTTGATTGTTTAAATTATTTTATAGTAGTGGGTGAAACATAGATTTCCATTCATTTGTTTCTCTTGCAAGCAATAAAATAAAAAGCATATATTTTAGATTTATGAACTTGGCATATATGAAATATGTATGAAATACCATCAACTTGCACTGCTTGCCACATTTTTTTGAATATGTATTTTTTGATAATATTTGTCAAGCTAAAATTTCTGGCTACCATGGAGACTAATTGTTGATGGATTTCGGAAGTGAGATAATACTCTGTTTTAAGTATTTTAACTTACATCAACGATTCAGTGCTCTTTTAGTCAAACCTCATTGCTGAAATAAAACTTCTATCACTTTCTGAATTTTGCCTACATGGGTAAACTATTCCTTATATTTTGCTTCAAACAATCACTGATCTTTCACATCAATGCAACTAAACTCCTACTAAAAAACCGAGCTATTTCCTTTAGGAGAAGAAAAATTAAGTCTGTAAATCTTTTTGTCAAAAGACATAGAATTTAGTATGGTATGTTGGTGATGCTGGTGACACAGTTAGCAGAATTCATTATTTCAATTAAAAATACAGACAAGCTGTATTCAAGGATTGGTCTAGCAAAGGTTTTGTATGCCCTAGTTTGCAGTACAATATTACCAGAGAAGAAGCTTCGCAAGATTAGGTTAGCAACTCTTAATACCTTTTTGGCAATGCTGTTACAGAGAGCTCTGGCACTTAGATCATTTGATATGAGTACTCCAAGGTCCTTGAGAGAGTGGGGGTCATCTACGAAGTCGTATCCACCTAGCTTGTATTTGGTGTTTGGGGTTTTTTTTTTTTGCCAATGTTTAAGACAGAGCATTTGTTGGTTGAGACCATTCAGACACATAGTCAAGGTCATTTTTAAGGGCAACAGCATTGTCGGTGGTGTTGAATAGTTTTATGTCATCAATGAAGAGGATGCAGATGCTTTTGAAATAATCTCAAAGGTCATTTATGTAAAGTATAAAAGAGCATGGGTTCTAAGACGCTGCCTTGGGGGACACCACTGTTAACTGGTGCAGGATTTGATAGAGCTCTCCCTATTTTGAGTATTTGTTGATAGGAACAGATTTATCCACTTATGTAGGGATCCAGAAATGCCATAAGAATTTAGTTTTAACAGAAGTTTGTCATGTACCACTGAAACAAAGGCTTTATCCTGGTCGAGTTGTGTAATCCATATATTTTTGCAGTGTAGAAGTTGCAGATTACAGGACATGTTTTTTATGAAACAAAACTGCTCTTTAGAGAGTAGGTTGTTTGTCTCTAAGTGGTGGGTAATGGATTGGTTAATGATTGATTCCATGACTTTGCAGGTGACACAACATAGTGAGATTTGTCTGTAATTTTCAACCAGGCTGAGGTCTTTTTTTTTGAAGATGGGGATGACCATGGCTAAAGACCATAGGTTGAGCATGGAGCTGGTTCTGAAAGATATCTCATAGATTATGCTTAGAGGTTCTCCTATGGCAGTAGAAAGCTTTTTAAAGAAGTAGGCACATAATCGGTCAGGGCCAATAGATAGAGATGGTTTTAGTTTGCGTAGTGCCCTTTCAACATTATCGTCTGTAAAGTTGATATGTATCAGATTAGGTACAATATGCCTTGTTCATTAATGGAAAACAGAAAGTTGCTTTTTCAACTGGAGATCTTGTACTTGCAGTCTAAAGAAGACAGAGAGGAGGGCTGATTCCATAGGAATTGCCAGAACTAAAAGGAGCTGAAACAGAATATATACTTCCAGGCCACCTCCCTTATATGCATCAATGTGCCTATTTTGCCCACCTGTGAAGTCTAAACACAGGGTAATATGGAAAACACCATTTCTATATTGGAGCACCAGATATTTTGGGCTTCCTGAAATGTGGGCTGCCTTTGAAATGAGGAGACATGTACTGGAGCCAATAAATGGAATGGTGCTCATTGTGCAGCTAAGAATCTGTGTGGAGACGCATTTAATATCTTCTCTGAGATTTAATGGAAAAAAATAGGTGGCTATCATGAGCATATTGATAACCTAACAATCAATATATTTGGACAATCTTACTGCCTTTTCCTCTATGACCCCCCCCCCCAAAAAAATATTCCTATACTGAAGCTGAGGTTAGCTCTCACCCTCCTGGTCTTCCAGAAAAGCCTTAAAACCTGGCTCAGATGGCTCAGATCCCCTCACACATATCACATGCCCTCTTCATTTTTTGTTTCTCATTTAATCTTAATTTTAATCATTTTGTATTATATTTTTACTCTTTTATCATTTTCTAAGCTGCCCAGAGTCATTGAAACAGTGAGATGTGCAGCATATAAACTTAATAAATAAGTAAATCAAGCTTCCTTGCTTAGAAATACCATGACTGTTTGTATAAAAACCACCGGAGAACATCCCTTCCCTTGTTCCTGGCATTCACCATCAACTAAAGCAGTATTCCAAACTTTTTTCTCTCCCATAAATGATCCAAAGCCAATTGGAAATGGGTAAGTCCATTGAAATATCCCTGCTGCTAAATAGTGAAAGTTTGTCCTGTTGTATTGACTTTGTGGTTTTTACTGGTTTGTGAATTAAAGTTTGAATTGGTAATTCAAACATGTCAACCAAAACCATTTAATTCCCCAGATATTTAGTAGAATAAAAGCAATTATTTCCAAGAAAAACTTTGAAAAAAAAAGATGAATTGATCTTTCATTTATCTGTTTTAAATAATTACCTCAGAGATAGTTTAATGACATTTTTCTATTGATTGTTTCATTACTTTTATGTGAGACAAAATGTATACTTTAACTCAGCAATCAACAGCAATCAGCTGTTCAAACAGCTTATTGCTTCTTTCATCTTTTACCATTGTTTACTGTTTTGGTAAATAAATTACCTTAGAAAATCCTTAAGTCTAAATGACGCCAGTATGTATTCATAATGCAGTAGGTCAAACAATTTTGTACAAGCCTAGACTTGCACAAGTTTCACCTCTTTTGTGGGAGCTGTACTGTCTGGCAATCTGTTTCTAGATACAATTCAAGGTTCTGTTATATCACCTTTACAGTCTTATATGGTTTGGAGCCAGATCTCTCCCTTATTATATCTATCTAGCCTACTTGGATGGGAAAGTAGGGTATGTTATAGGTCCCATCAATTTGGGATATACATCTGATGGGACCATGAAAAAGGCCTCCTCTATGGAGACCCCTTCTTTATGGAACACATTCTCCTGATCTATTTTCCTGATCCTTACCCTATTGCTCTCCTGAAAGGAGTTAAAAACATGGTTTTGTCAGATCTGTCCCTCTGTCTCTTAAATTTTCATGTCACTTATTTCCCCTGTAAGGTGACTTAGTTATGTTGCTGGTGCCAAAGGATGGGGGGGATTTTTGTAGGAGTTTTGTTGTTGTGGATTTTTAAATGTTGTAAGCTGCCTGGAAATAATCTAAGTGTGAGTTGGGTGACTATAAAATTTTATTAAACAAATAAATAAATGTTCTTGATGATGCTAAGAGGGAAACACCTCCAAAAGGAACAGAATAAAATATATATTTAGTCTGACAAGTATGGTAATACATAATTAACTTTGTAGTAAAATACGTAAAGAATGTCACAAGGATATCTGATTCATTTGACCATTTTGACATTTATGGCTCCCCTGATTGATCATGAATCCATTGGGGTAGAACCTTTATTATCAAGAGTCTGATAGTTGGAATTGTCCTCTCTGAGAGTCCACTAATTATCTTCAGTAAATATCAGTAGAATTTATTAATTAGTTGTTCATCTCAGTCATTTGATTTCCCAGTTTTTTTTCTTTTTGCAAATGTCAATGTTCTTAAGGTTTTTTTTTTGCCTTTTTTTAACCAAATATATACTTTTTATCTCAATGTTACAAGTTATTGCATTCAAGATCTACTCAAATTTCTGTATTTTAGGTGCACTGAAAATGGCTTCAGCTTTTTCCAGCAATGCTAATCAAAATTGAAATTAAACAATCACTTTACATATTTATTGCTTTCCACAATATTCCTGCATGTTTTCACTGATATCCGGATATACCAGCCTTCTCAATCTACATGAAGTTTAAAGATGGTTCCTTTTTTTTCCTTTATATTCTTTCCAGGGAATCAACTCTGCTCAGGATTTTTCTGAAGGTTAGGGTTAGGATTATCATGACCTGAAGTAAATTTCACAATTTCTGAACAATAGTTGTACAGGAGAAAGGATGTTTGTTTCTCCACATTCTTAAACATAATCTAGTAAAGAGGTAGCAGCCTGAGAAAAGCCATTCCTCTGGAGAATCATCAATCATGGAAAAAAGTCTCTCTCCTCCAATCTCCCAGAATAAAATTATCTGAGTTAACAGCTTCAGCTCAGATTTAAAACAAGGAAACTCTCTGAACCTTTAGAAGTATGCTTAAGAAAGATTAAAAAATGAAATTTCAATTTTATGATTTGATGACTTTATCTGTTATGATTAGAGAATTCTTGGGTATTTTTGTTGTTACTATGTCTACCCTGAGAGGGATGCAGTGGCTCAGTGGTTAAGACACTGAGCTTGTCGATCAGAAAAGTTGGCAGTTCGGCAGTTCAAATCCCTAGTGCTGTGTAATAGAGTCCCGTTACTTGTCCCAGCT